CCCCCCCCCCACCCACCCCCCCCCCCCCCCCCCCCCCCCCCCCGCCCGAGGCCCCATAATCGCTCTCCTTCCCTTTTTTGTCGCCAAAATTAATTTTATTAAATTTCGATGAATAAAACTATAAATTATGAAAAAAGCAATAGAATTCGGGGAAGCTAGCTAATTTTTAAAAATTTAGTTATAAAATTATAACCAGCTCTCTCATCCACGTACTCGTGGTGCCCCCAGAGGGAATTCCAAAGATTAGATGACAGAGGACAGGATGTATATCGCATTTTATTTATAAGCATCATATAAAATGTATTTGACTGTCAAAATTATATACAACTTCAAAAATAAATAAATAAACTTGGATGATTGAGTTCCAACACGTTATGGCTTTCTATTACATATTTACCTCGAAATATCAGAATCATTAAGCTTATAAAAAGAAACTGCCCCGGGTGAGGATCGAACCCACGACCTTCAGATTGCTCTAGTAGAGAGATTATGAGACTGACGCGCTGCCTACTGCGCTACCGAGGCTCTGCGGGCAGATGTACAAAAGGAATTCTACAGTAAAAACTTCTTGAGTCGGCCACTATAATCTTAACCGGTATACCATCTTCCTTAAATAAAATTCTTTATTTATGAATTTTTATTGACCCTTTCATACAAACAATGAAATGATGGTTATCTAATGAATAGATAATAACAAAGGAAAATAACTGAGTCATCTAGAACAGGGATTCCCAATCTTTTACCCTGGCGTACCCTTTGATTATTCTTTTTGTTTTCGCGTACCCCCTACTATCATATCCAACACCACTACCCCAATCATCCATTTATGCAAAGAAGTTTTTATCAATAACTTAAATAATAATGACTAATAATAAATTATTCTAATTAATAACATTTGCAGAACTTATTTTTGATTTTTACATTTTATTTCAATTTTACAACCTTACATTTTATTCCATTTTCACAACATTGCGTTTTATTACATTAGTCCAACGCCAAAGCAAATGAAATCAGTATTGTAATTATTTCGTTTTAACTTATGAGGATAGCTAAAAATAACATTTCGTAATAATCGACTATTCAAGTGGTATAGTTATTAAATAGCAAGTATTCACTTGGAGAAACAAAATTCTCTAACTTTTTTAATCCCTCGTGTTTTCTCGCTTGCACCATTAAGAATTTTGGTTTCGCGTACCCCCAAGTGGTCCTTCGCGTACCCCTGTACCCCCAAATGGTCCTTCGCGTACCCCTGTACCCCAAATGGTCCTTCGCTTACCCCTGTACCCCTAAATGGTCCTTCGCGTACCCCTGTATCCCCAAATGGTCCTTCGCTTACCCCTGTACCCCCAAATGGTTCTTCGCGTACCCCTGTATCCCCAAATGGTCCAGGGGTACACGAAGGACCATTTGGGGGTACTTTGATTTTTTGGTACCCTTTTGGGGGGTTCGCGTACCCCTGGAGGTACGAGAAGGACCATTTGGGGCACTTTGATTTTTTGGTACCCTTTTGGGTATTGCGTACCACAGGTCTACCACTTCTGATCTAGAACGATAGTAATAATTATGAATCGTATTTGGGTGTTTAAGTTTGTTATGATTTTCTACTTCTTAAGAACATTTTTTACAGAAGGAAAAACCTAAATATGGCACAGAAAATATATAACAATGAAATTTTGATCCATTTTCGAAAATTCAAACAGGTTGCATTTATATAATTCCAATAATCAGTGTAACTGTTTAGATGTTTTCCTCGAATCCTGTAAAACATAACTTTTAAAAATTTACAAAAGAATGTCCAGTGCTGTGCGATGATTATTTTTAAGTCTAATTTAAAGTATAAAGAAGTAATGCCACAACCAATTGTTACCTATTATCTACAGTTTAATTAATAGGAAGAGTAATGTTTCTATTTTTATCCAAATTGTTTGTGACTTATATTTTTAAATTTCGTTTTAATAAGACATACCTATACAACAGTATTTTCATGCGTGTATTACATAAGTATACACAGTTTGTATTTTGTTACATGCATTAAACAAGGCATATTGATTTTATTGCTCGCATTAAATAAGACATACTTAACGTTATCCATTACTTATAACTTTTTGTCATTTTAGATAAGGCATACATAAATATATTTTCAAACGAATACAAACATCTGTTATATAAAGTAGGCATAACTATATTTTCGAATATGTGTTATATAAAGCATACATAATTTCATTTTGTTGCTCATATCAGATAAGGCATATTTATTTTGTTACATAAATTAGATAAGGCATGCATACTGTCAAAGCTATGAGCATAATATTTAATTTGACCTTTCCGCTGTTTATCGTTGCTAGTTCAAAACACATATTAATAGAATTCACGTGAGTGTCACACGTAATATTATGTTTGTTATAAATAACATAGAGAAAGAAAGCAGATAAGAAGATATCGATCTCAAGAAAATTACAAGGATAGCAACTACTGATTAAAATTGATAGTTATTGTTTATTCATGTTTTGATTATCTAAGTGCACTTGAACATTTCGAAACCTTTTATTGGAAAAGTTGTTGACTTGTATTTATTTAGCAATGCCAAAAATGAAACACGGATGTCAGAATATTTTGAAGTGAAATGTAAATATTTATTCGATAGTAAATCAACAACTAGAAAATTCTGAAAGTATTTTGTCATGCTACGAAAAAAAAAATTATTTAAAAATATTAATAAAATAATTCGCTTTTTTTCGCGAGCTCTTGACCACTCCTTCAACATTAAGTAAAGATAAAATATCTGAATACTTCAGTTCATATTACTTTGAACCTACAAAAGTAAAATCTCACTGTTACGGTGAAATATGCATAAAATTATTTTTATAAACATTACGTTGCAAAGAATGTTCTTAGAAAGTAATAAGATAAATATACTTATCGTTTAGTTTAGTTATATAAAAGTCACGGTTTGAGGCAACACGAGGGCTATTTTGGAGTAGATCTAGTAATTTTGAACCGTGGTTAGATGACGAGGGCGGCACCTGAGCTGCCCCCCCCCCCTCTCCAAGCTTCTGCACCACACCTGCGGGAAGGCGTTTGACCCACGATGTCGGATTCTCCGGGCGCCAGGCCCACATACACGGCATCTCTTTAGATGATTCGGTTTTCGACACCCTCCTTCCTCGACGTTAAAGCCTGCCACTAAAACCCAGCGGACCCAGTATGTTTTAAAAAATAACTAGCAGTACGCGCACGGCGTTGCCCGTGGAATCAGGACTTCGACAAAATGGGAAAAAAGAATGCCCACCAATGACACGAAAAAGTTTTTAAAACAAAAGATACACATCGGATTGTAGAAATGCATGCTGGGAATGAAAGCATATGACGTCACCTGCCGCGAGGAAGGTCACTCGTCCGGAGAAACTCTCGCTGTTAAATCTCACTAGCAAAAAAACTGTTTGAACTGATCAGGGTAAAATTAATTTTTAAAAAAACGAAAAAAGATATTTTAACCGTTCTTGTTTTAAATCCGACAGAAACGTTCCAATTATAAGCCGAAAAAAAATGAAAATTATGGAGATGTTAGAACGTCAGATGCGATAATTTGAAGAAATCTTTATTAAAAATTACCAAAAAAGTGACGATTTTTCAAAAATTTCTCAAAATTCAGTAAATTACGTTAGACGTAAGAAACAAATTTCATTAGAACGGAAATCGTTTGTTCTTTCCTGCTTTTTTCGTACAATTATTCGAAGCCATGCTATTGAGAAATGAGTGCGAAAAATCATCCAAAACGACACAAAATATTAAATAAAAAATTTCTAGATTAAATTTTAAAATTCCACCTTCGAGGTGCATTCAGTCACCATTACGACTACCTGTGTGCCAAATCTCATGACTGTAAGTGCGACAGATTCGTCTGGACATCGCAGACACATATACACACACACACGCACACAAACATTGCCTTTTATAAGTACTAACAGTACGCGCACGCCGTTGCCCGTGGAATCGGGAATGAAAGTTTTAAAAACGAAATCAAAACCGAAATATTTATGTTATTGAGTTTGTCCGCTTCTTTTTCCTCTCAACCAAGTACCATTAACCCAAAACAATGTTAAAAAATTACAATGTGATATTTATTACACCGCAAGCAAAGTATGAAAGGCAAAGAAATAAGTTAAGACACGCTTAAAAATAATAATCGAAGTAAATAAATCATCTCGTCGCAGAACGCGAAAGTAATGACGTCACCCTGCCCCGTCAGCCAATGAAATTGCCCGCAAAGTTCCGGAGATCTGTCGCAGGCAGAAGCTTCGATATAGGAAAAATATCGTTCAACTACCAGGAAAATATTAATTTAAAAAAAATGGGAAAATATATTTTAACCATTCTTGTTTTAAATCCGACAGAACCGTTGCAGTTATAAGCTGAACAATTTTCAAAATGATATCTTTATTAGAACATCGGATGCAAGAGTTTTAAGGATTCCAGAAAATTTTATTCTTGAAAAGTGACTATTTTTTAAAAAATTCCCAAAATTCAGTAAATTACGTTAGAAATTCGAAACTAACTTCATTAGAACGGAAATCGCGTGCTCTTTCAAATGGTTCATCTATTTTTTTCGTACAGTTATTCGAAACCATTCTATTGAGAAATTAGTGCGAAAAATCAACCAAAACAACACAAAACATTAAATAAAAAATTTTCTAGATTGAATTTTAAAATTTCGGCTTCGAGGTGCATTCAGTCATCATTACGACTACCTGTGTGCCAAATTTCATAGCTGTAAGTGCGATAGATTCGTCTGGACATCGCAGACACACACATACACACACAAACATTGTCTTTTATAAGTATAGATAGATGAATGAAGGATTTTACTCTGTGTTGGTAAAACAGCGGGAGTGGTCTCCCCAAAACTTTCGCGTATACATCCTTAGCACGGATGGGGGGGGGGGGGAATAGGCCGGGGGCAAATTTCCCCCCTCCCTAACCCGGGGGGGGAAAAACGCGCGAATCGGTCTGGACTTTTTTTTTTTGCGTCGTAAAATGGTTAAGAAACTGAATATGCAATTTGAACGAACTTTTTTTCTTCAAACGATTGAAAAGAAAATTGGACACAGACCTGCAATTAAGCTGAAAAGACCACATACCAAATTTCATTTATCTAAGTCATTGCATTTAGAAGTTATTTCACAATCATGCGATTATACAGACCATTTGACGGATTTGGTCCAAAATGTGATACAGACCTACATACCTGATGATAAAACTGTGTACCAAATTTTATCTTTCTAACTATCTAAGTTTATGAGTTATCGTGTTCACACGAACACGGACAGACAGTCAGACAGACTTCCCGTACACGGATTTCGTCCAAAATTTGACAGAAATCGGCCAATCTTGTGTAAAGGCCATATGCCAAATATCATCCCTCTAGCTCAAATCGTTTTTGAGTTATCGTGTTTACATCAGACAACCAGACACACGGATAAACATAATTCCAAAATTGAGTGTTTCGAACTCAGGAAGGTCTAAAA